TAATAAATCATAACAAGGATCTAGGAACTAGACTCAGAAGGCACTAGTGGATGCCATTTACCAAGTCTAGCTTGCTGAGGATGAGGACAAAGCAGTGATACTTTTTAGGTGTGTAAGGCCTAAATGTGCTTGATTTAAAGAGAAAGAACTTAATTACCTGTAAGGATTATCTATAAAACATTACTGTGAGCTTACTATTTTGCTTTGAATACTCAACAGCTAAGGGAAAATTTCTCAGTGATTAAGATCCTTATTGAGGTTTGCTCATTTTTACTTTTCTTGGTATTACTGTCTCAGACCTAGTTCCATATGTTTGTTTGTTGTGTTGCTGTTGTTACTATGTGCTCTCAAGTCATAGCCTACTCATATCTGACCCTTAACCATATTTTCAGAGGCTATTCATCACAAGAGGAGATTGTCCTCTGTCTCCTGAGGAGCAGCTGATAGATTTGATATATGTGCCTTGGCACAACAGAATTGGCAGCATACCTCTTTACCACTAGGCATTTATTTAGAGTGAATGTTTATTCATAGCTCTGGTGGCTTCTTGCTGTGTGCCATTGAGTTGGAATTGCACCATAGCTGACCCTCCAGCAAGTTTACAGAGGCATTAAAGCCTGTCTTTCTTCCACAGAGCAGCTGGTAAATTCAAACCTTATGCCTTGATGAGATTACAGTGCAGTTTCCTACCACTAGGCCACCAGAGCTCTCTTGTGGCTTGTTGTTCTTGTTGTTAGATGCCATCAAATCGTATACAACTCACAGCAACCCTGTAAACAACAGCTCTGAACCCTGCCCTCTGCCATCCTCAAACCCATTGCTGCAGTCATTGTGTCAGTATACCTGGTTGAGGGTCTTCCATTCCTTCCATGTCCCTCCACCCTCCCAGTGAATCATCTGATGCCCCTCTCGAAGGAATAACCTCTCCTAGCAACATGCATAAGGTATGAGCTTCATCATCTTTGCCTTCAAGGAGCACTTTGGCTTCACCTTCTCCAAAACATATCTGTTATTTTGGTGGTCCAGCACCACGGTCCAAAGGCATTAATTCTTCTGTTTCTTAGCTTAATGGTAAGGATTTGCCCTGCCAACCCAAAGACACGTGGTTCAACTCCTCCAGCTGCTTCACGAGAGAAAGATGGGCAGTCTCTTCCCATGCGATTTACTGCTTCAAAAAGCCTGCTAGAGGGTCAGCCATCAGTTGGTTCTAACTCAGCGGTACATGACAACGTATTTTATGTATTTATATACATATACACACAAACTGGATGTTGTTGGGATCGTTTGTAGTGAGTTGTGCTGCTAAGCCAAATGCTGCGTGACCCCAGCAGTTCCAATCCATCGGCCAGTCTAAAGGAGCAGCGTGGGCAGTCTCCTCCAGTTGTGATATATGGCCTTCAAAACCCATTGGAGAGTTAAGTCAAAACTAACCGTAGAGTTTGGAGTTATGCTTTGTTGCTTTGTTGTTACTGTTTTTAGGTGTTGCTGAGTACAACTTATAGCACCCCTATGAATAACAGATCTGAATTTTGTCCTTCCTGTGTCATCCTCATCATCTCTAATACACTTGAGCCCTTGCTGCACTCTCCATGTCAGTCTACCTGAGTGGGAGTCTTCCTCTCTTTCACTGACTCTTAACCTTTCCAAATAGGAAAACCCTTTCCAAGGAATAGCCTCTCCTAGAAACATGTCAAAAGTATGAGAGATGAAAACTTCAGCTTCAACATCCTTACCTCCAAGAAGCACTCTGGCTGCACCCTTTCCAAGACATACCTGTTCATTCTTTTAGAAGTACATAGAATAACCAGTACTTTCCAACATATCTCAAAGGCATCAATTCTTAAGCAGACTTAAACATCTGTTTTTGTAAGCTGAATCTGAGAAGTTATTCAGTGTAAAGTACCTTTTAAAATGGCCAAACGATTTCCTTTGAAATGTAGGTGGTTAGGTTTTGCTTGTTGGAGTTTTTTCCCTACTGTTACAGTGCAACAGTAAGCATCTTTGCATACACCTTTCTGTAGACTTCTATTTTCTACGGTTAATCAAAGAACTCTGGTGGCCTAGTGGTAAGAATCTGCGCTGCAGTCATAAAGGCACACAGTTTGAATCCACCAGCTGCTCCACGGGAGAATGATGGAGTGGTGGACCCAAGGTATGTTAGATGGAGCCTTTCTAAAGGTTATGAACAAAGGGAAAAATTGAAAACTAATTCAAAGCTCTAAAACAGAGAAAGCTAGTAACTTTTTTTCTCGATAAATCCTATTCATAATAAAGGAAATAAATTCAAAGCACAGCAAAAATTGAAAAAGAATTTTCTGTTTTATCAGGCAATAGTACAAAGACCAAGATTGGCTAGGGTGTACAGGAAATGGCTTTTTATATACACATTTTTTTAAGAGTATAAATGAGGTTCTTGGGAGTTGGGGGAAGAAATATCCTTTAGAATCCGTTCACCCTCTGATGCAACAGTTCAGCTACTAGGAATTTTCTTTCCAGTGTTGAAGTATACTTTCTTATTGAATGTTGTTATGTGTCACCAAGTCACCTGTGACTCTTAGTGACCCCTACGTACAACAGCCATAAACCCTGGTCTATCCCTTGCCAATCTTATTGATTCTGACATGTCTATCCCCACTACCCCAGTGATGGAATAAATCCATTTGATCCAGGGTCTTCCTCTCCTGTGCTGTCCCTCCCCCCTCCCAAGCATGGCATCCGTCTCTAAGGATGGATCCTGCCTTGCAACATGTCCAAAGTATAGCTGACGAAGCTTCAGAAGCCTTGCCTCCAAGGAACAGCCTGGCTTCACTTTCTCCAGGAAGAACTTGTTTGTTCTCCTAGTAGTCCATGGAATATTCAGTACTCTTCTCCAGCACCACAGTTCAAAGGCATCAAACTCTCCTGTTAACCATAGTCATTGTCCAGCTCTCTGATGCATACATGGCCTATATCGGGTGCACCTTAGTATCCAGACTGACATTGTTGCTCCTCAGTATCTTGGAGAGGTCTCTGACAGCAGACTTTCTAAATGCAATTCATCTTTTAATTTCCTGGCTGCTGATACCAAGAGTGTTAATTGTACAGCCAAGCAAAATAAAGCTGTTATCAATCCCAGTCTCTTCATCATCCATCATGATACTGCCAGTTGGCCCAGGGGTGAGAATCTTTTATTTCTTGATGTTGAGCTTCAATCCATATTGAAGGCTGCAGTCTTG